AAATAGGCTGTACCACACATAGAATCAACTAGGCTGTACCACATCACACATAGAATCAACTAAGCTGTACCACATCACACATAGAATCAACTAGGCTGTACCACACATAGAATCAACTAGGCTGTACCACACATAGAATGATTTAGGCTGTACCACACATAGAATCATTTAGGCTGTACCACACATAGAATCAACTAGGCTGTACCACACATAGAATCAACTAGGCTGTACCACACATAGAATCAACTAGGCTGTACCACACATAGAATCAACTAGGCTGTACCACACATAGAATCAACTAGGCTGTACCACACATAGAATCAAATAGGCTGTACCACACATAGAATCAACTAGGCTGTACCACATCACACATAGAATCAACTAGGCTGTACCACATCACACATAGAATCAACTAGGCTGTACCACATCACACATAGAATCAACTAGGCTGTACCACACATAGAATCAATTAGGCTGTACCACACATAGAATCAACTAGGCTGTACCACACATAGAATGATTTAGGCTGTACCACACATAGAATCATTTAGGCTGTACCACACATAGAATCAACTAGGCTGTACCACACATAGAATCAATTAGGCTGTACCACACATAGAATCAACTAGGCTGTACCACATATAGAATCAACTAGGCTGTACCACACATAGAATCAACTAGGCTGTACCACACATAGAATCAACTAGGCTGTACCACACATAGAATCAACTAGGCTGTACCACACATAGAATCAACTAGGCTGTACCACACACAGAATCAACTAGGCTGTACCACACATAGAATCAACTAGGCTATTACCACATCACACATAGAATCAACTAGGCTGTACCACACATAGAATCAACTAGGCTGTACCACACACAGAATCAACTAGGCTGTACCACACATAGAATCAACTAGGCTATTACCACATCACACATAGAATCAACTAGGCTGTACCACACATAGAATTAACTAGGCTGTACCACACAGAATCAACTAGGCTGTACCACATCACACATAGAATCAACTAGGCTGTACCACACATAGAATCAACTAGGCTGTACCACACATAGAATCAATTAGGCTGTACCACACATAGAATCAACTAGGCTGTACCACACATAGAATCAAATAGGCTGTACCACATCACACATAGAATCAACTAGGCTGTACCACACATAGAATCAACTAGGCTGTACCACACATAGAATCAATTAGGCTGTACCACACATAGAATCAACTAGGCTGTACCACACATAGAATCAAATAGGCTGTACCACATCACACATAGAATCAACTAGGCTGTACCACACATAGAATCAACTAGGCTGTACCACACATAGAATCAATTAGGCTGTACCACACATAGAATCAACTAGGCTGTACCACACATAGAATCAAATAGGCTGTACCACATCACACATAGAATCAACTAGGCTGTACCACACATAGGATCAACTAGGCTGTACCACACATAGAATCAACTAGGCTGTACCACACATAGAATCAACTAGGCTGTACCACACATAGAATCAACTAGGCTGTACCACACATAGAATTAACTAGGCTGTACCACACAGAATCAACTAGGTTGTACCACACATAGAATCAACTAGGCTGTACCACACATAGAATCAACTAGGCTGTACCACACATAGAATCAACTAGGCTGTACCACACATAGAATCAAATAGGCTGTACCACACATAGAATCAACTAGGCTGTACCACATCACACATAGAATCAACTAAGCTGTACCACATCACACATAGAATCAACTAGGCTGTACCACACATAGAATCAACTAGGCTGTACCACACATAGAATCAATTAGGCTGTACCACATCACACATAGAATCAACTAGGCTGTACCACACATAGAATCAATTAGGCTGTACCACATCACACATAGAATCAACTAGGCTGTACCACACATAGAATGATTTAGGCTGTACCACACATAGAATCAAATAGGCTGTACCACACATAGAATCAACTAGGCTGTACCACATCACACATAGAATCAACTAGGCTGTACCACATCACACATAGAATCAACTAGGCTGTACCACACATAGAATCAACTAGGCTGTACCACACATAGAATCAACTAGGCTGTACCACACATAGAATGATTTAGGCTGTACCACACATAGAATCAACTAGGCTGTACCACACATAGAATCAACTAGGCTGTACCACATATAGAATCAACTAGGCTGTACCACATCACACATAGAATCAACTAGGCTGTACCACACATAGAATCAACTAGGCTGTACCACACATAGAATCAACTAGGCTGTACCACACATAGAATCAACTAGGCTGTACCACACATAGAATCAACTAGGCTGTACCACACATAGAATCAACTAGGCTGTACCACATCACACATAGAATCAACTAGGCTGTACCACACATAGAATCAATTAGGCTGTACCACATCACACATAGAATCAACTAGGCTGTACCACACATAGAATCATTTAGGCTGTACCACACATAGAATCAACTAGGCTGTACCACACATAGAATCATTTAGGCTGTACCACACATAGAATCAACTAGGCTGTACCACACATAGAATCAACGAGGCTGTACCACACCACACATAGAATCAACTAGGCTGTACCACACATAGAATCAACTAGGCTGTACCACATCACACATAGAATCAACTAGGCTGTACCACACATAGAATCAACTAGGCTGTACCACACCACACATAGAATCAACTATGCTGTACCACACATAGAATCATTTAGGCTGTACCACACATAGAATCAACTAGGCTGTACCACATATAGAATCAACTAGGCTGTACCACACATAGAATCAACTAGGCTGTACCACACCACACATAGAATCAACCATGCTGTACCACACATAGAATCAATTAGGCTGTACCACATCACACATAGAATCAACTAGGCTGTACCACACATAGAATCAACTAGGCTGTACCACATATAGAATCAACTAGGCTGTACCACACATAGAATCAACTAGGCTGTACCACACATAGAATCAACTAGGCTGTACCACATATAGAATCAACTAGGCTGTACCACATCACACATAGAATCAACTAGGCTGTACCACACATAGAATCAACTAGGCTGTACCACATCACACATAGAATCAACTAGGCTGTACCACACATAGAATCAACTAGGCTGTACCACACATAGAATCAACTAGGCTGTACCACACATAGAATCAACTAGGCTGTACCACACAGAATCAACTAGGCTGTACCACACATAGAATCAACTAGGCTGTACCACATATAGAATCAACTAGGCTGTACCACATCACACATAGAATCAACTAGGCTGTACCACACATAGAATCAACTAGGCTGTACCACATATAGAATCAACTAGGCTGTACCACACATAGAATCAACTAGGCTGTACCACACATAGAATCAACTAGGCTGTACCACACATGTCAGACGTTTTAAGTCAGTTATGTGACCCTAAAATGTTCTCTGACTTCCATCAGTCTCTGGAAGAGAATCCAAATTTGTATTGATATTATTTTATTTATTTGTATTGGGTTGAAATACATTTGAAATACACTTGTGTTTACAATTTGTTAATATCTTAAGATGTGAAATACTTGCATTTAGAGAAAATATTTTTTTCCTTTAATTCTGTTCCTTAGCCAGTTGTACATCTTTTAAATTCTTATTATACGTTTTTTAAATACATTTTTATGAAAGCATGTTTGTTAAACTGACTTTTGTTGCATATTGAATACAATTTTTTTTTTCAATTTTTATTTTAGTAAGGACCTGCCCATACAGCTAAATAGAGAAGATTTACGTGAAACAAACACATTCACATATATGGGAAGCGTGATAAATAAGTACGGGGGAGCAGACGAGGACATAAAATGCCGTATCAACAAGGCTAGATGTGCCTTCAACTCACTGCGCCCGATGTGGAGGTCCACGACCCTGTCACTCCAGAGCAAAATTGTGATTTTCAACACAAATGTCAAAGCAGTGCTGCTCCATGGCTCGGAGACTTGGAGGGTTACGAAGACAAATACTGATAGGCTACAGGCGTTCGTAAACAAATGCTTACGACATATACTTAAAATAAGATGGCCAGACAAAATATCAAACAAAGACCTGTGGCAAATTTTAAAGCAACAGCCAAAAGAGAAAGATATGAAGGCCCGTAAATGGGGATGGATCAGACACACAATTTAGAAAAGAAAAAGAAAACATCGCAAAACATGCTTTGGAATGGAATCCCCAGGGAAAAAGGAGGTTGTGCTGGCCAATGAAGACATGGAGAAGAACGGATGAAGAAGAGGCGAAAACAGCTTGGCTCACATAGGCACAGATTAGGGGAGCAGCCCAAAACCGAGTCCGCAGAAGATGTGTGGTTGCAGCCCTTTACTCCCCAGGGGCCACAAAGGAATGATGATGATGAAGTGTAGGCCAGTGACTGATTGTACTTATGTAAGGACATTTGTATTTATTTACCACTGCCTTTTTAAAACCATATTTACTAGGAATTTTTTTATTGTATTTATTTGACCTCATAAGTATGATAAACACCCCAACCTTTTATCTCAGTGTATTAAGACAGCTAATAATTCCACTTTATTGGGCATTATAATATCTATCTTAAAGTACTCACTAACTTTTCCCAGAGCAGTCTATTTTAATTTGTCACTTTTTAAAATTTTCTTAATACAATTATGATTATTTTCTTCCATAAAATAAATGCTTATCAAATTTATCAAATGTGCGTTTTTTTAAAATAATTTATGTTATTATTTTAAAATAACTGGTCAGCTGAGAAATAAGCATGAACTTACAAAGCCACTATCTCCATCAAACATACAAGTGCTATTGAAACTATTAAAACTAATATTGGATGTATTGGTCCTGCCGTATTTAATGAATCCTGCTGCTTCTCTGTCACACTCACAGACAAGGGTTATTTTTAAAAAAAACTGTTTGCAATAAATAATAATGCACTGAAATTGTGTTTTATTAAAATGAAGTATTTACAATTTAAAATTTCATTAATATAACACAAGAACACAGATGGACAACAAAAAGTAAAAAATTAGAAACAAAAATATAGGTATAACAAATAAAAGCACAGCCTGAAAATATTTTTGTTGCAGTTACTTGATAGCAACCATACTCCATTTGCTCAATAAAGCATTAAAGACCACATGTAATAGCAACAACATTCTAAAAATATACATAAAAATAAACCAATATTTACAAGAAAAATGTCAGACCTCCATTAATATGAACAGCTTTTAATACTAAACATTAAATACTTTGTGCAACAAATATTACACATACACATTTTACTTCATATGTCTAGGACATATTCTCCAGGTCAATTACCTACCCACCCCCCATAAGATTTATTTATACTTGTAATTAAATATCCATTTCCAAATTCAGCTCCGTATCCCTAACCATTTTAGGTATAGGGTCAATTAGTAGTAGACCAGGGTAGGTAATGTCATGCAGTTTTTTGAGTGGAGGATAACATGTCAGTATACAGTTATTTTTAACATTGATATTCACAAACACTGTCCAACATGTCTACTATGGTAGCTCTTGTTTTTTTAAAATTATTTGTTTATTGCTACTACAGAGAATGTTGGGATACCATCTTTTTGGTATGAACAAAAAATGAGTGACATTAAAAAGTGAGATAAGAATAACAGAAAAGTTATGACTGATGACAATAGGCTTGAAAACTATGTAATCGTAGTAAATTTTAAAAATTATCTTTTTAAAAATATCGCAAGGGATAAAATTATAGTTACATTTTTAAAAATTTAAGCTGTCTGGGAACCGTCAATTACAGTCATTTTCTTATATTTTTGTAGTAAATATAAGCTGTTGAAAAGCCGAATAAAATTACTTTATCAATTCAAATATTTTCAAAAACCACCAGCAAATTCTCTTTTAAGTCAACTAGAATAGCCAGGGAAGGTAAAAAAATGAAAGTCAGAACAAAGGTTTTCCGAGATAAAATACACAAAAGTGAAAGTAGTTCATTTATATTAAATAATATTACATCCCCTATCACCACAACGCCTGACTTTACTAATCCAAATTAAAAATAAAAGTGTTTGCTAAATTACAATTATATTACTAGTAATTATTTGTTTGACTATTTCCAGCATTAATAAAACCAGTAGTCATTTAGTACTTATTTCACAAATATTATAAAATATTCAATTTTAGTTGAAAAATATGCCTTCTGGCAACAAAAATTTGGAACCAGCTTTTCAAGCCTACTGTCACAAAAATTATGCCAGGCTACAACAATTTGGCCAAAGTGTAATGATAAATTTTCATAAAAATGATAAACAAGCATTGCTTTCCACAGTACAATAATCAATGTAAAATTTTACAACAATACAACGCTGACTTGCATAAAACAAGCAATTACTCATCTTTAACTAAAATGGTTATAAACTATTTGAAACTGTATGACACATTTTTAAAAGTGCTGCCTTTGCATTCAAACAAATTCTTGCAACAAGTTATGAAGTAAGGTTGTTAATTTTGCTGATTTAAAAAAAAAATGTGGGTCATTAGACTCAATCAATGATCTGTATGATATTATTTTACATATGAAGTATGCATATATTCAAAATTGATGAATGATTTTTTCCATTTTTAGAATTCGGGGGTAATAGTCAGTTATGTGAAAAAAAATTAACCAGCAGTTCATACACATTTGAGTGAAATATTTGACTACTGCACTTACATGAAACTGTTTCTAACTCATGCGCTTCTTATTATGATGAGATTTGTTACTCATGCGCATCTTAATCATGATGATATTTGTTACAGTCTATTTTCTAACATTTCATCATCTATACAGTTATTCTGATTTTCATAACAAATGTTTAACAATAATTGATGAGCTGAAAAAAAAAAACAACCTTACCTTCTATTCTTTAAATAAAACAATTTTATACTCCATAGTTATAAATCTACAAATTGGTTTCTTGTAATTTTGTATCCATAAATAGTTACCGGTATCAGTTTGTCAATTATACTATTGTATTGATCAGACATCAACAATGTAAATGTTGATATGTAGGCTCATGTGATCTCAGAAATTATCCACTAGAGGAAAGTGATCTTTTGATTACACAGTTAATGTTGTCTGTTGTACTGATTCTGTCAAGGTTCCATTCATAGCTTCAATGTTCTGATTCCTGTTTGCCTCCCTTACTCCATCCACTGGTTGCTCTAATGCCACATCACTCCCTGTTACATCCAACATCTGATCAGCTTTGTTATCAACCTCAGACTTATGAACAGCCTTAACCTCATCTTTTATGTAGACAGCATCTTCTATCTTGGGCATAGACATGTGCAGGGCTGCTGGTTTGTCCCAGGGTGTGTTGATACGAGAACTGACGCCATAAGGATCCTCGTCCACATCATTGCTGCTGGGGCCTTCATGTTCAAGTAGACTTCTGGCCTTGCCTGTGGAATTTACAAGTGTTGTAATATAGGCAATAGTGTTATAGTAAACTTGTCAATCTTTTGTGGGATTACAAGTGTTGTAATATAGGCAATAGTGTTATAGTAAACTTGTCAATCTTTTGTGGGATTACAAGTGTTGTAATATAGGCAACAGTGTTATAGTAAACTTGTCAATCTTTTAGTATATGTATAAATGTTTTGGTACAGGTACCAGTGTAGAGGTACAACAGGTACTTTTAACTGCAATAAATCTTACTATTTGAAACATTGTAAAACTAATTACAGATGGAAAGAAGTCCACTAGAGCTTGCTACAATTAATCTGAATTAATTTTTACATGATGATTAACTGATTATTTAAATAAGGGTTGATCAAATTAAGGTTTAGAGGGGAAAAATTAATAATTTCATTCACCTCTGATGACATTAGACCCAGCACTTGGTGAGTTGGTTCCATCATTAGTCCCAAATGGGTTCAGTGTTGGTACAATAAACAAAGCAAATGACAACAGCATCACCTGAAAATACCAGTAAAAAACTATAGAGAGTGTATGCACTGTAATTGTTGGATGCTTCTTGTAATGTAGCAACCAAAGAAAAAACACTCTGCATCTTGTACTTACCATGACACAGGTAGATGCTTGAGCAGGAATCCTGGATTTTCCCACTAAAGACTGAAGTCTCTTTAACTGTGTAATTAATGATCTGTGAAAGGTAGTCAAAACACAAAGGTGAAGTTTTAAATCAATACTAGAATTTTTTTTTTTCTATTATAAATTATATAATTTTCAAGTTGTAAACACAAACCAAAATGAATACATCTCTGCCATTGGACACAGCTTTCATTTTAAGGTCCAGTAGGGATTATTTACTAAACAGTATTTAAAATATTGTAGACATGGCTGATGCACTGAGAGAAATCTTGACTTACACATTCTGTTTCTCCAGAGTTTCCACCTTCTTGATGAGCTCTCTGTTCTCAGCTGTGCACAGCTTGACCCTCTGCTCTAGACCATCCACATAACCTTGTTTTCTTTTACGGCTCTCTTTGGCGGAGATCTATAACAGTTATATTTACACATTTTATACAAATGCAGATCATAAAATCTCCACATCGCACTTTAATTTAATCCCACTAAACATAGATGTAACTTTTGTTGAATGCTTAAACAAAAAAAAAAAAAACACTAACAGGTTTTATGACCAAGCTTGACATAACAGTAAAAAATTCCTTTTTTTTTTGCCTTTCTACAGAATGTAATTAGCAGGAAATCAAAAGGATGGATTATATAAAGTTAACTTATATTTATATCTATATCTAAAGCTGCAGTTTTGATTTCTTTATCTCTCCATTAATTGTGATTTTCATTTCCTAAGCACCAATATCATATCACAAATCAATACTACAGTTTTTGTCCATCAAAATGTACTCAACCTGGCTACATCAAAATCTAATATTTAACTTCCTCTGCAAAGCAATATCAAATATATATAATTTAAAATTTTTTATTAAAAAATTTGCTTTGAAAAAAGCAAAATACCTTATTTCTTATTTTCCGTCTTACTGCCTTAAGAACTCTTTCTTCGTCTCGAGTTAAAGGTAAATTTGTTGGGAGTGTAACCCCTTCCCTAGCAAGTAACTCTTTCTCTTCATCTGTTAGTCTAAGTTCTGGGAACTGTGGAGTAAAAATTATTTCATTAAAATATACAACTGTAATAATAAATAAACCAACAAAGAAATGTGGATTGGAATAAGAATATGAGGGACTAAAAAAGTAACTTACATTAGAGGAGCTAGAGACATGAGGATCAATGTCTTTGACTGTAAATGGTAAGGCAACATCTTTCTTTGCAGCCCTCTGAACAGGTATGACCCGTTTACTTGAGCCATTAAAAATGAAGACTGACTGTGTTCCAGTTGAGTGGACATCGGATGTCATGTCTGACTGACTCAGGTCATCTAGATCTGCAATCATTAACACCACTGGTTTAGTACCGGTTCATTAACACCATTGGCTTTGTACCAAATAGCTAACATAACTGCTTTTGTGTACCAAGTAGCTGGGATCAGAAATTATCTGCTGCACGTTACTATGTTATAATTATCCATTTAACTTTTAAGAATATTATTCAGAATAGCCTCTAAAGACACCTAAAATGTTTAAGTAACTTGCAAACTGTGAAACTGTTACAAAGTGTAAAACTTTTAAAAGTATAACTGATAGGAAAACTAAATCTATATCAAGAATTGTTCAAATACATAAGATTCATTTAAAAATTTTTATAAGACAGTCAAAAACAAAACTGATCTCTAGCAAAAATTGTTACCTAAAATTTTAGAAAAAGTGAAACTTCTTACCAAAGTCAATAGATATGTCATCATCATTTCCATATGAAAACTTGTAGTCATCTAAATCTGCTGTTGTGGTGTCAACGCTGTGGCTCTGGCTGGAGGTTACAGCTCTCATCTTAGTGCTGTTCATGTCATCTGACATATCGTAAATGCTATTGTCTGTGTAGGACGGACTGAGACCCTTGTCTGAACATCCAGAGGAAAAATACTCCAGTTGATCATCTGTCATATTCTTTTCTAACTTTGGGCTTAAGCCAGAATCGTCTGAAACAACTGATATGCCACTGTCGCTATGTTCACTTGGTGACTTGTGTGCTATATAGTCATGATCTGAATGGAATGCTTGTCTTTTTGTAGGAGGTTCACCATCAACAGATGAAACAGGTTCAGTATTAATAAGACTTTCAAACAAATTATCACTCAAAAGATCCAAGTCTCCCTAAAAATATATAAATATAAATAGTATTCAAGACATTGACTTTACATTTAAAAAATACAATAACTGTAACTAACTGATACAGAATCTAGATCTAGTTATAGACGAACCTGACTAATTTTAATTTATTTTAAGATACAGCTGTTTACTGAGCTTATTTACTTTTGATTTAATTTAACAGTAACAAAGAATAGTCTGCACTAACAGTCTAACACAAAATAAACTACATTTTATTTCTGATAATCTGCTAATAATAATTAATTATTACTATTGATTAGTCTACTAAATTATACATCTAATTACTACATCTAGATCTAGAAATAATTAGGCCTAAAGAAAATTTTAAAAAATTAGAATAGGCCTACTACTTGTCTTTTAGTTTTACTTACTAATACTTACTAAAGTAAAATTGTGAACACTGGTATCAGATTCAAAAAGATTTGTATCATTGAAACTGTCCATAAAGGTTTGCTTTCCAATATTGTTTGGTGTTATGTCTCCGTTGAGAAGTCCACAGCTTTCATCAAATAAAAAATCCAACACATCTTCTGATGGAGAATCGAACTCCATTTTGTAATGAGCGTAATTGCAGATTAAAACTGCAAGGTAAGACAAAATATTATTTTAATTACTGTTTACGTAACCCAGAAATTCGTGTCTGATTCCAGCGTAGCAAGAAACACGTCATCAATCCCAGTAAAAGAACGGAATTCCCCCTTCCTCCTTCCTTGTCTTATGATGATTATCACTTCAAAACAGAATCTTTATTTCTCGATCTAACTCAAATGACACTGAACTCAAAAACCTTGATGAAATAATTCTAAATTTCGGCAAAAAATCAGCTGTACCTGATTGTTAATAGAATTAAAATATACTTCTGTAATTATATTGCCATAGCTGAAACAAAAACGATGAATTAGAACGTCAATATTTTCTAAACAAAATCCCCCTCTTACGAATGGAATGGGAGGGGTTACACAGTTACTATGTTTAGGAAAATAGTAAACTTCCGGAAATTCATTCTATAGCGACGTGGAGGTAGATAAAAAGCTACAAGCAAATCTAGTTTCGTATAGATCTATGTCTGTGTGGCAACAACGCCAAATGTTACAAGTAAAAATAAAGGACAAAGATACAATGCATTTTAATCTAGATTTAGATCTAATAGGAAAAATGTTAGGGTTGTTTATGAAGAACGATTAGATTTTTAAAATGAAAATTGAACAGCTATTCGACATTTGGGATCGTCCATAAATGTCGTCACACTCGTAGGGGGGAGGGGGGGGGGGGGGGTCCGTAATTTTGTGACAGTGTGTGATGAGGGGAAGGGAGGGGAGGGGGGGGGGGGTCAGATGGTGTGACGTCACTTTTTTGCGTTATAAAAAAAGCAATGTTAGAAAACGAGTTTTATCCGTTATTTCGCGTTTTAGAAAACGGTTTCAATAAATTGTAATAGGAATTGATCAAAATCTATGTTGACAGAGTTCTGACAAGATTTTGGAAAAATATCGATGTTTTAAGAAAAATTCAACAGCAATTTTGAGGAGGGGGGGGGGGGGGTTGTAGGCTGATGTGTGACGTCATTTTAGGGGGGGGGGGTCTGGCTTTTTGTGACGACGTGTGACGGAGAGGAGGGGGGAGGTAAAAATCGTCTAAAAAAGCGTGACGTCATTTATGGATGACCCCTTTAATAATAATAATAATAAAGGCCTAGGACATATGCCTATACTAAAACTCGATTAGTAAGATTAGATCTAGATCTATAATCTATATCTATATCGAGATTCTAGATATAGCATTTTATTTTGTTCACAATATCAGATATTGTGAACAAAATAAAATGCTATATCTAGAATCTGTCCTTCTGTCTGTCCTTTTACAATCTAGTATTAACTTGCTTTCAGTGTTTCTTCCAGACTTTTTTCTCCAGGGGGCACTTGAAATTTTCGAGGGGGGGGGGGGGCAGAGTTTCTTCCAGACATCCCTTCGGGGGGGGGGGGCTAAGCCCCCCCCCCCCCCCGTAAAATTCTACCGCCCCCCCCCCGACGAAATAAAATTTATATATATATATCATGTGTAAACTGGCGAGAGTCCCGTCCCTTATCTGGTTATTTAGAGGAGTCGCGAGGCGGGGGCGGGGTGTGTGGACCGCACAGAGTGACACCATTTAGGGGGGGGGGTGACACCATGGCGAAAAATAGCAAAATATATAAAAGAAATATACATTTTGCAAGTTCAATTAATGATTAATTAAAGTTAGTTCACATAATAACTGACTATGTGATTAACATCTTTACTATTAACTGTGCACACGTTAAAACTATCACCAAAGGAGGGGGGGGGGGAGTGACACCAACTGCAAAATGTACGGAAGAAAAACGGTTTCTGTTAAATATTTCGAATACCTAGAAAGTCAATCAACGACCGTGGTGGGGGTGACACCAAAATCTAATAATTTACATCGAAAACGATGCTTTTTCCACTTGAATTAATAAGTGTATTGATTTAATGTTCGCACATAGTAGGGGACGACAACAATTACGACTAAATATAGGCCCATGTAGACCTTAATATATATATATATATATATATATATATATATATATATATATATATATATATATATATATATATATATATATATATACTTTGTCTCGTGTGGAGGGGGGGGGGGGGGTGACACAAAGAGGTGCCGCACCGGGTGACACCACTGCCCCTTCCCACCTAGGAGTGGGACTTAATTTATAAAAGACACCTTAAAAAACTAAAACTCTAATTTTGAGGGGGGGGGGGGGCATTAGGCTGATGTATAACGGTCAACATTTTTCGGGGGGGGGGGGCGAACACTAGTAAAAGTATGTTTACTATATAAAATCCATCTCATTCGGGGGGGGGGGGGGGCGGTAGACTTTCTTCGGGGAGGGGGGCTGAGTCCCCCCTCCCCCCCGAAGAGATGCCGGGAAGAAACTGTGACGGTGGGGAGGGGTAGAGAAGGCTTACGGGCCGGGTAGACTGTGTACTAACTAGTGATCGCTCGATCGGCCAGTGATGGTAGAGTATGTGGTGTTGGCTTCATTAAAGAAAAAAAAGCTGCTCTAGACAAGAAATCTAGATAATAATATTCTAGTTCAGGAAAAATTGTCGGCGAGGGACTATTATAAGAAAATGAATAAAAATTACAAAGAAAATAAAAAAATAAATTCAAATTCTCTCCCCTGATGATGCTTTGTGGGATTTCACATCTTTAGCAGAATTTCCGGTTCCCATGAAAAAACATAACAAATCCGCGTCTTAACCATCTTTGTTCCTGTTGGCAATTGTTAATATTTAAGTTTAAAACCAGTTCTTTAGTTGTATTTAGAAAACAACCTACAGATAATTAAAAATAAATTAATAAATGGCGGCTGTAACATTGTCGCCTGGTCCATCTGGTTCTGGTAAGTTACGTCAGTGTTAATAGTGTTATGTTGACTAGTGTTGAGAGAGTGAGACGAAGTGAAATGTTCAATGTTGATCACTGAGCCAGTCGGAGTCTGAGCTTAGTTAGAGTCTGAGTCTGTTATAACGGTGTGTAAATGTAATAAAGTATGTGGGTAATCTATCGCTTTAGCGTAATCAATTCGGCCGTCACTAGTAATGTCTGTAGGGATAAGGTAACTATCAAATATGACTTAGATGTGAATATATTTTTGCATATTTTACTAAAATACTAAAGATAATTGAATATTAAACCACATTTAAGGTTTAAATCAATAAAAATGTCATGAAATTAAGGTTTAACATCGATGTTCCAGATACTAAATTTGCTATTAAAAACAGCGGCCATCTTAAGAAAATATTATTTTGAGTCATTTCCCTTTAATTTCTATTTGTATGGAAATGTATTGATGTTTGCTATTAAATACGTTAGTCTTGTGTTTAAATACAAAGCATGCGTTTTTTTTTAAAATTCTGCCCTTTAAACAATTTAATTGACTGACAATAAACATCAGTTCTAGAATTATTATTATGAGATGCAATTTTTACACATTAAGATACTCCCTATTTTTATAGAGCTACCTCTACATATCTAATGTTTATTTAAATATTAGTTTGAGTTAATTCTTATTGTTTGTGTTATTGTTTGTTTGCTATTTTCATGTAATATTTTCATGCTTTTTTCCTTTAATTAGTGATTTAATCATAAATGACGTCCCGTTTTTTGACCTTTCTTCACCTTAACCCCCCCCCCCCCCCCCTCATTTTCGCCGTTACGAAATTGTTGTAATGTCGAAAATTACCTTTTTGCCCTGCCTGTTAAAAAGTCAAGCCATAATTCTAATGAAAACGATATATTCAGCATTTTTGTATTTGGCGAAATACATAACGTTTCACGTTTCTTACCCCTCCCATTTCCCGCGTAAAACGTCGTCTCAAAACCAGTTACTCCACCCCTTAAGTGTGCGATGTCATTTATGGTAGATGTCAAGTCCTATATACATTTTGAATAACCTTTGTTGTCAAAATGTTGATACCAAATACCCAAAATTAGTTATATGGTGTTATCCATAAACGATGTCACATATGCTATGCTAATGTGCCGTCAACTTACGCAGGGTGGTCCGGGGGGGGGGGGATGCGTTACGTCTATTTTGGAATCTTCTTTAAAGCTGCGCTCAATGAAATTGAGGAACATAAAGCGTTCGTTTTCATGCATACATTTGTTCATAACGAATGATCATAACTATTGCATGCCTGTTGTCCTAAGCGGTGTTTAACAACCTGAGCACATCATCCCCGCCAAAAAGGGCCTGCCACTAAATGCCTACCGACGAAAATAAGCCGCACTATATTGACTCCAAATGAAATAACTTCTGACAACAAGGCTCAAACCAAGTAGCTCCTGTCAACAATATTCGACAAGAGTCCAAGACACCATTAAGTGCCGCACCGGGTGACACTCGACCTCGCTACGCCACTGAGCTAATGTAAAGCCACAGCTCAGTATTGGCTTAAATTTAACATAAAATAGTGTTAGCGGTGGACAGCCTCTAAGACTGTGCATTAGGAGTACGGCCGTCGGCAAAACGCCAATATAATTCACCGAACTAAAGTCATTTAGATCTATTCGTCAGGCTAAATGTCGCTAGTCTCATCGTCATAGTCATTTAGTGCCTGTTTTGATTTTTTTTTAATTACGCGGTATCTCTTTCTTAAACATTAGCCTAATGACAAATGACGTCACACGCGCCGCGAACTTTGTGACGTTGTGCTTATTGGGGGATGAAACGGCGTGGTTTAGAAAAATGACGTATTTCTTTTTTTTTAAGTGATAGATTCTAATTTTCCAACGAACTATAGGTTCATCTAGTTTTTTTTTCTAGAGGGAGATATCACTATATTGTGATGGGGGGGGGATTTATATATAATCTCAATATATTCTGATCTACTACTATTCATACGGCAACCATTATACTCGTGAGGAGGACGGGAATCACTCTTATGTTCCGCAGACACTAATTAACAATGTCAACAACTTCGTTTATGAAATAACATGAACTTTATTAACACACACTTATAGATCATTTGTACAATATCAAAAAATACGTCCGTCTTCTACTATATCTAACCCCCAACTAACTTCACTGCTGCGTCTTACGTCATCGGTACATTGTCGCACCATGCTCACGTCACACTCACGCCACACAAATTTTATTGAACACGCGCACAATACTCTCGCACCAAATCGTCTACTGTCAAGTTCGTACAGTCCTATGGTAACCTCTACTCGTCTAGTCTAATTCTATATTTCTACGCTATGACATATATAGTGGGTGGTTTTTTGTTGTTGTAATAATGTGTGGTGGGGAGGGGTAAACATTGACTACTGAAGAAATAAAAAAAAACTGATGATAGCAGAAGGAAAAAAAAACAACAAAAAAAAAAACAAACCATGTGGTATTCAAATGTAACTAATTAAAATTTGAACCTATTTTAAAAAACACAATAATCTTAATTCAGAAAAGGTGTAGGCCTAAGACTAATGTCTACAGACAAAAAAAACAACTAGGCTTAATTAAATGGATCGCCCATAAATGACGTCATACTTTTCCCGACGATTTCCCTCTCACCCAATAGTTACTAAAAGCAAGATGATGATTTAATATCATATCGCAGTTCTACTATACCCGAACCCTTAATCACAATTTCTAACGAACACGAATATATTCTTCATCATTTTTAAAAAAAATATTTTACACCGTCCCATATTTTGAGTCCAACGTCATTTATGAAGAATATGGACGACCTAATAATTGACAAGTTAATCAGTACAAAAGGGTTTAATAAATGTTGGACCTCCCAAAAGTCTTTGAGATCTTGGATGTACATACATACATAGCCTTAATTTCAATTGAAATTAAAGATAAGAAGACGGCCCTCTGTCCCACTTTTATTAAACAAGACAGCTATGTATATTCAACAACAAAATCAACACAATATACATACGAATAGACATGTGTATCAAGGGAAACTACTCTAAATTTTATTTGGAAAGATGGCCGCTGTTTTTATCTGCTAATATTTATCTCAAACACCTTGTTTAAAGTTAGTTTCATGATATTTTAAATTGTTTTGGTCAGTGATTGTTATATTAAATCAATTATCTGTTATGTTTTGTAACATTTGACTTAAATTATACTTATTTAAACAAATATATTCATCAGTTACCTCTCCCGCACATTTCTACTGCAGCCGAATTGATTACGCTAAAACGATAGTTTACCAAGTATGTGTCTTTCTTGGGTGTATTGTGCTGTGTTAACTGTTGATGCTAGTTTCGGTTATCAGCTTATCTATCGCTTTAGGTACGTACAATCGGCTGAGGCTAGTACTAGTATTAATGTGAAAAGAAGGTGCTCATAAAATTTTAGTAATTATTTCACATCTTGGGAAGATTTATGTTTTGAAAGTTACAAAAATATTTCAAAGTTTCATTCATGTACCTGTTTTTAAACAATTGTTTTAAAACTTTTCAGTAATAAGTAAAGACTAACGATGTTTTCATCAGATGCAACAAAGCTCGTTTACTTTAGCAGCCATCTTGTTTAAATTTTTTTTTAAAGTTTAAGTGGGAGATTCAGGGGAAGCCACCCTATTTTACAAATGGTTGCTGTTTATATAGCAATTCTTGCTCGCAAACACGGCAGTTTAAAGTTAATTTCTGGCCTATATTGATATATTTAGCCATTGATTTTGGTTTATTATTCTATTAGGCCCTATCTATAATATTTGACACATAGGCCTATATATCATAATATACTTCTATTAAAGCCTTAATAATGAGGCAACTTTGTCGCACATTACTAGTCTCTGCCGATTTTACGTACCTAAAATGATAGATTACCCTAGTTTCCTATATTTTTTGTGAAATTGGCGCACTAGTAGTCTGTTGAATGAGAATTAATGAATGATGATGGTATGCAACATAAAACAATAGGGCTGAATAGGGCCTACATTACATGTTTAGGTCAAAATGCTATCCTATTGTGGATTACCAGTTTTAAATTAATTAAAATTAAGATAAATATCAGGTATAAGTATAACAGCATGTCTGCTTTAATAAGTTATTATTACATGTTTCCTTTTCAATTTTCACAAGTTTTTTCTCACTAATAAGCATTACTGACAAATTCTAGGTTACATGACTTTTTTATTCCTGCAAATGTGCTGGTTAACATGTAACAAAGTGACAAGAAAATACAATTCTACAGTTTTAATTGTTTTCAAAAAGAAAATCACCCATTTCATGAATAACAGCAAAAATCGAAGTTGTGAATTATTAAAAAATAACTCCTGAATGGAAGCAATCATTTGATAGATCTTAGGTCTTAGACTCTAACTGGTGACGGTCGGAATGACAGTGCAGCATCATATCTAAATAAAATTAATATTTTTAACAGTAATTTTTGTATTGAAGATCGTCGACAAGGAATAGACTCTTTTGTAACATTGTAATTGTTAGTAGTGCTTCTTAGTCTTTTGTCACTTGTAGCTTTGTTCATATTCTAATCTAAATGCAATTCATTCATGCATTTTTACCCATAGATTATCCCACTCTCAGCACATTGGCTATAATTAATATTAAATGTCTTGTGTTGTCAAAAATGGTTATTTCAAAATAAAATGCATTCATTCACCAATATTCTGAAAAGACTAGCTCAAATAATTATCTGAAACTAGATCTATATGCAGTTGCAGTTGATACTTAGTTAGTCATCAGCCAAGCCTGGGCTAGTAATGCTAGTGTTCCTAGTTTCAAAACCTAACCCTTGTTGCTTTTGTGTCAGATCTAAAGATAGGCTTATCTCCACTGTTGTTTAAAAATATATCTGAAAAGCAACCTATGTATATATCACATTCATTCCCTTTACAAAAATTTGATATATTTTATGTTAATAAACTTTTTTTTTAAAAAGAAATATTTAAAAAATTATTCATTTTTATCTTTATTACATTTTCAGATGGAAAACAAAGGAAAAGAAAAAATGGACAAGAGTAAGTTTTATTGTTACATTTGTAAGCTATAAAAGTACAGTAATAAGTTATTAAGAAACTCCTGGAGTTATAGCACTTGAATATTTATACTAAAAATTATGTTTACAATTTAATGAATCCATCTAATAATACCAATGTTTTTGCTCATCTGTCCATACAGGTCGGATGATGAGGACAGTCAAGGAGGATCTTTTGGGAATGGCCCAGAAAGTGCAGACAAAGAGAGGTTTGCCAGGTATTTGTAATGTCAGGCTCGTGTGGTAGTCACTTTCTGTCAGTTTGCTGTCACTACCGTCACTTTACTGTCACCTCTGTCAATTTAATCTCATTAGTGATTTATTTGTTAAAACTTAATTAAAAAATACAAAATTATATTAGTTTGCTGCTTACAGTTGTATTAATTCTGGCTAAAGTTTCAGTATAATAATAAAAAAAACTGTGTTTACCCAGAGAGAGCCACTGTGAGATAGAGAGGAGGAGAAGAAACAAAATGACGGCATACATTAATGAGCTTTGTGATATGGTTCCTACATGCAGCACACTGGCTCGCAAACCTGATAAACTCACTATTTTAAGAATGGCTGTTTCTCACATGAAGACATTAAGAGGTAAGTTGGCAACACATACAAGTATTAGATTTGTAGCACATAAAAATGTTCATTGTTTATAGCTGAAATATACACTACACTCAGTTAACACAACAGAAGAAAACAAATATATTGAATGTTACAAATCTTAAATTAAATGAGATTGTGAAAAACAATGGGATACATTTGTAAGTGGTGACGTACTTTTCTCTGGCTATGTGTGGCAAATAAGAGCACATTCAGTTGATGCGTTTACATTCCTAGGATTTTATGCATATAAATATATATGATAATATGCGCTTTATATTGATGCTGTGGGTTAAGAAATTATTGAACAATTTTTTCCAGGCACTGGTAACACAAACAATGATGGTTCTTATAGACCTTCTTTCTTAACAGATCAGGAACTAAAGCATTTAATCTTAGAGGTAGAGCCTGTTCAATCATATCCACTTTACTTTTATAAAAACGTATTTATCATTTGATATGTAAGGTTGCAAGTGCTGAACTAATGAGCTTTTTTTTAAATCAGGCAGCAGATGGGTTTTTATTTGTGGTACAGTGTGATACTGGGAGAATTGTTTACGTATCCGATTCTATCACACCTGTGTTAAATCAAAGCCAGGTAAGAGAGTTTGATTTTATAGTGAAAATAGTTTAGATTTCTGGTTGAACACTGTGAACTGAATATATTTCAACTTGGCAGGGAGACTTGTTTGGTACCACGCTGTATGATCTGACACATCCTGATGATGTAGAAAAAGTGAGGGAACAGCTCTCAACTTCTGAATCACAGAACACTGGAAGAATTTTAGATTTAAAGAGTAAGTCTCTCTTTATATTTTAAAATGTTTGATTCATTGAAAGTTGTATTTGAAGGTCAAGAATTTTTACCATAAGTTAATAAATAATTATAAATAATTATATTATGAAAATATAGTTTAGAATGTAGTAAATAATAAAGCTGGTTTAGTTAGCTATGGGAACACATCATCTCTATATATTCCTTGTTTTACTTACACACTGGAATGTTTTTCAGCTGGTACTGTCAAGAAAGAAGGTCACCAATGTAAGCTGGCTTTCCTTCATACATCATCTTTTAGTATTTTTTTACCACAAGTTGGTTTTGCTTTACACATCATCTTTTAGTATTATTTTTACCAGTAAATTCAGTTGTTAATCCTCACATTTTTCTTTTTTTGTGCAGCTTCTATACGGTTATGTATGGGATCTCGTAGAGGTTTTATATGTCGGCTGCGTATGGGAAATATGCAATCAGACCCAATGACAGCTAATCATACAGTTCGCATGCGACAGAGAAATACCCTGGGCCCAGCATCAGATGGAAATCATTATGCTGTTGTACATGTGACTGGCTATATCAAGAATTGGCCTCCTTCAGGTTTTAATACTAATAAAATCTATTGACCTTCTTTTAAATAGTAGCACACTTTTCAGTTTCAAATAACTGTTAAAACAATTTGTTTTGGTTTACGAACTTAGTGTTGTAACGAATTTCTTGTTGTTCCTACATTGCTATATATTTAACCAAACTTTCAGCTGGGGTCCAGATGGATCGTAATGAATCAGATGAACATGGGGGAAGTCATTGCTGTTTAGTGGCCATTGGAAGACTTCAGGTGACCAACACACCAAACTGTAGTGATATCATGGGACCCAATCCACCCAATGAGTTTATATCCAGGCACAGCATGGATGGCAAATTCACATTTGTTGATCAGAGGTAGGTGGTGGTTAATTTAGAAGTGGTCAAATGATCATGCTTAATTGTTATACTGTCACTTATTGTTGAGTTGTGAGATCTAATGATGAACTGCTGTTAACAGGGTGACACCTGTACTAGGATATCAACCTCAAGAACTTCTTGGAAAACTTGCTTTTGAGTTTTATCACCCAGAGGATCAGACCCACATGAAGGAAACGTTTGAACAAGGTAGCTGTCACCTATAATTGGTAGAACTCTGTTTAGTTTATTGGTCTTGTTAACTGTTGTTCTAAATCTAACAAAAAATTGTGCTCTTGCAGTGCTGAAGCTCAAAGGTCAGGTCATGTCCATTATGTATCGGTTCAGGGCATCAAACAGAGAATGGGTGTGGCTACGAACCAGCAGCTTTAGTTTTCAGAACCCTTACACAGATGAAGTGGAGTACATAGTTTGTACCAACACTCTAGTCAAGTAAGTCGTGTGTCATTTAAGCAGTACATAATCAAGGGTGACCAGAAAAAAGCGCACGGAAAACTGCTCACACACAAAAACCCACAAATATGACCAAATCAACAGCGAGTTAGTATAATTAGTTTGTATTTGCACATTTTTCTATTTGCACAGTTTTTGGTTGCACATTTTTCTGGGAATTATAATCAACCAAATCTGATGCTATTTTACAACATTGATAAATGAGATAGCAATTACTTTTAGAACATTAGAATTGTACAAAAACTTAAAACTGCAGTCCCAATGTGTCATCAACTTGGAAAAATGCAATGCATAAAGTTAACTAAAATTATTAAGAAAATGTTTAATGGTCCTAGTTCTACAAATTTTTGCTGTGTAATTAATAACTACTGTCAAACCATTTTCCAGAAGTTCACAACAAGGTCAGATTCCTCCACTTCACAACCCAGCTGATCAGGCATCTGATGCTTCAATGTCTGCTATTTCTTCCTATGCTGGGGGTGCCAGAGCTATCCAGGCTGACCCTATGGGACTGGGTAAGTCCTTTACAGCAGCAGTTGGGTACGCTAGGTCCTAATTGGTTATTGTATATCGTCAACACATCAGGTGACCTAAGTGGCAATGTGAAGGTTTTTTATTGTCACTAATTAATTATGGGGGGACATAATATTACATTACATTTAAAAATACTAGTTTGGCCATTCCTTTTGCTGTCTAGTTTTTACTTTGTTAAAATTTTGATTGTAACTATTATAAAAGCTGGGTAAAAAATGTAAATGAATAAGTTTGAAGAAAATGTCCAAATATCTGTGTGTGTTGTCAGGTGCAGCAGCCGGGGCAGGCAAGGCGTCAGACTACACATCAGACATGTACCACATGGGCCAGCGTCCTGCCATGCAGCAGGAGGTCTACCCAGGGTACCAGACCACTGGGGGCATCAAGTACCCTGTACATGCCTCAGGCACTGCCCCACAGGCCATGGCTGGGTTAGGCATGAGGCGCAGCCCAGCACAAAATGCCACCAACAGCTGGCCACACCAAGGTGCCTTTGGACGGACAGATGTAAGTCTTGTATGATCAGTTCCTCCTTAAAAAGTAATGAACTTTGTAGATCTCATCAAGCTCTAATTGACAGGTTCTCACACTTTGTTTACACCATACAACATCAGTGTATCCCATTGTATAACCAATAATTTGTGTTCTTTATAGGCTGACTATGGAGCTTCAGCTGCTAGCCACTATAATGCTATTAGCCCAGCCAATAATTCTACCGGTTTGTAGACTTGTCATACAGTAGTTGTTACATTAGCAAGCTGTTACATCTTGCTGTTAGCTGGTCTAAATGTAATTTTTACCTCACTAACAGCAGTACCATCATTTCATCTAATAGTATTTGTTTAAGTATAGTCTGGTAAAAGCTTAAAACTTGTTTTAATATTGTCCAGTGAACTTGAGGTTAACCTAGTTGTGCTAACCCATGTTCCCCCTCTGGCAGGCGCAATGTGGTCCCAGCAGTGGCAAGCAACAGACGCCAGCTCCCAGCAGCAGCAGCACAACCCCCAGGCCCAGGAGGAGTACAGTGACGTGTTCAGCATGCTGGGGCCCCCTGCTAATGACTACACTGACATCATGTTCACCAACTTCACTGAGTAGATCTCTCGGCTCAATGGGATAACTGGCTAAAGGGAATCTCAGCGGAATTGGATTATCCTTTACTAGAATACTAAAAAAATCCTTTAAGTTATAAGAAAACAATGAAAATTAACTTGTGATTTTAAATGCTGTAATGTCACAATTATATTGCTTGAGAAACCAAGCTTCTAGTCCACAAATCCAAATTTTTAAAGTTAGCTCTAAATCATGCTGGGCCTGATTGCTAACCAGGATCTTGTACAATGCACACTTATAATTGATTAATTGTGCCATATATTTTCATTTGCTATGGGTTGTTGGGCTATTGTTCACAGTGGATGTAAAGAGTTAATAATTTACCTTTGATATAAACAGTTGATTATTTACATTTGATGTAAACATTTATTTACATTTGATGTAAACATTTATTTACATTTGATGTAAACAGTGGATGTAAAGAGTTGATTATTTACATTTAATGTAAACAGTTAACGTAAACATTTGCTTGTTTACATTTGATGTAAACAGTTCATTGTTCACATGTTATGTAACATTTGATGAATTCACGTTCTCCTGTGCTGTGTGATTTGACACATGATCATGTTTTAAAGGGTAAATTTGTGTTGACAATAGAACTACTGGTTCAAAGAATTCAATCACTTTCTGAACAGATTTTAATCTTCATATGTTATAAACATATTTTGTTTTATGATGGATGACATTATACAGACCAAGATTATATTAAACAATGTGTATGTGTATGAAAGTTTACATCTGTTATTTTTATGTCAGACATTTATCAGCCTTCCATCAAGTTTTTGATGTATTTAGATCAGGAAATCTGTTGTGAAAGAGAACATTTTGTTTTCAATTTAAAAAAAAAATCAGACAATGTTGTTTGTTGTTTTATTTTGTGGATTTCTGGGAAACTCAGATTGTTAAAAAAACTTGGATTGGATATGCATGTTGGCAGCTGTACCAGACAAAGGAATACATATTTGTATGTTTTTTTGGTTTGTTGATTTTAATTTTTCTAGATGTAAAACAAGCTATGATTTTTTTTTTCTATGTACAGTTTTGCGTGTTAGTATTTTGTAAACAGCTAGTTTTGGTAGCTCAACACAGCCATTTTAGCTAGCTTTTGTAGCCATTTGGTTAACCCAGTTGTACTGGCTGTAATTTCTGTTAACTGGCTATAACAGCCATAGCAGCTAGAGCTTTGTCAAGAGTTGTAGCTGTATAGGTTTACAAACCTTTATGTTTATGTACATATTAAAACCCATAGGGAATATGATGTTGTATTATGTAACAGACATTGCTAAAGCCTCCAAGATCAGTGACATTTATACATTGTTACTGTACATTTTATATTGTTGTATGTTTGATATATTTTACCTTGATGTACATTTTTATCTCTTGAATGGTTGACTTTTACAGGATGTAAGTGTTTACATGATGTAAGTGGCATACATGTTTACAGGATGTCAGTTACATGTATAAATACATAATGTTAAACATATAAATACATAATGTTACATGTATGATTGTTTTGTATCAAAATTGTGCTGTCATTGTCTGTCAACTTTCTGATGATTATAAAAACAAAATAAAATAAAGTTGACCTCTAATCTTGTGTTTGATTTATTAAATTTGTATAGGCTGTAATGGTTTTGGACAAGGTGCCTTGGAATTTCTCTTATTTGGTTTTGTGTCAGTTTGTAGGAACAAATTATTGAGTTCTTCATTCCTTGGGTACATCAGCTGTGTGGAGAGGGGGGGGGGACTTCATTCCTTGGGTACATCAGCTGTGTGGAGAGGGGGGGGGACTTCATTCCTCGGGTACATCAGCTGTGTGGAGAGGGGGGGGGGGGGACTTCATTCCTTGGGTACATCAGCTGTGTGGAGAGGGGGGGGGGGACTTCATTCCTTGGGTACATCAGCTGTGTGGAGAGGGGGGGGACTTCATTCCTTGGGTACATCAGCTGTGTGGAGAGGGGGGGGGGGGAAGGGGGGACTTCATTCCTTGGGCACATCTGTGTGGAGAGGGGACGGGGGGACTTCATTCCTTGGGTACATCAGCTGTGTGGAGAGGGGGGGGGGGGAAGGGGGGGACTTCATTCCTTGGGTACATCAGCTGTGTAGAGAGGGGGGGGGGGGAAGGGGGGGACTTCATTCCTTGGGTACATCAGCTGTGTGGAGAGGGGGGGGGGGACTTCATTCCTTGGGTACATCAGCTGTGTGGAGAGGGGGGGGACTTCATTCCTTGGGTACATCAGCTGTGTGGAGAGGGGGGGGGGACTTCATTCCTTGGGTACATCAGCTGTGTGGAGAGGGGGGGGGACTTCATTCCTTGGGTACATCAGCTGTGTGGAGAGGGGGGGGGGGACTTCATTCCTTGGGTACATCAGCTGTGTGGAGAGGGGGGGGACTTCATTCCTTGGGTACATCAGCTGTGTGGAGAGGGGGGGGGGGGGACTTCATTCCTTGGGTACATCAGCTGTGTGGAGAGGGGGGGGGACTTCATTCCTTGGGTACATTAGCAGTGTGGAGAGGGGGGGGGACTTCATTCCTTGGGTACATCAGCTGTGTGGAGAGGGGGGGGGGACTTCATTCCTTGGGTACATCAGCTGTGTGGAGAGGGGGGGACTTCATTCCTTGGGTACATCAGCTGTGTGGAGAGGGGGGGGGACTTCATTCCTTGGGTACATCAGCTGTGTGGAGAGGGGGGGGGACTTCATTCCTTGGGTACATTAGCAGTGTGGAGAGGGGGGGGGACTTCATTCCTTGGGTACATCAGCTGTGTGGAGAGGGGGGGGGGGGGGGGAGACTTCATTCCTTGGGTACATCAGCTGTGTGGAGAGGGGCCTGGTACATGGGTGTTGGGGCTGTGAGACTTCTGACAACCAGCCACTTCCAGGATGCCATATTGGTCAGATGTCACACAGTCATTTGGTTGAGTGACGTCACCATACGGGTTTCTCCGAGACTTGTAGCAGACGAGGCTATCTTCCCTTACAACACATACACAGACCTTTGACTTCCCATTCAAACACCATGGACTAAACAACCTGGATGAACTTCCTCTCACTTCAAGCACCTAGATGAAACTAAGCCAACCTTTTTCTCCATAGCAACACCGAGACCTCACAATCTTACCACATACCGCGTCATGATTCAATTATACATTTGCACCACTATTTATTCACACTCAAACCCACCCATAACAATGGGCTATAGGCTATAACCTACATCTGGCTTACTTAACTTACTTGATTTACAAGACGCAATCACTCTAACATATATTAGACTATGGAGCCATTAGTTTTATTAGATTTATTGATTGGAAATAGAATCGAGTAGTAAGTACAGTGGCGGAACTAGAAAAAAGGGGCCACCCCGCAAAAAAAATTTTTTAGGCCCCCCATCCATATAAATATATAGGCCTATATATGTATATATATATATATATATAAATATATATATATATATATATATATATATATATATATATATATATATATATATATATATATATATATATATATATATAAATATAAATATATATATATATATATATATATATATATATATATATATATATATATATATATATATATATATACTCAAACACAAAATACGAACATAGGATACTTATTTCTGGCCTGTTCGTGTTTTGAGAAATACGTGGGTTTTTGTTAATTAAAACAAATTACAACATCATGTCATGTGTGTAAGTGCATTAGTCTGTTTTGTGAAAAGGAGTTATTTATTATGTCTGTCGTAAGTCCTTTATCAACATATCGGTCAAAAGAATATAAAACATGAAAGCTTTCTGTAAATAATGGTGTCTCGTGTCATGTTTATTTTTATGTTTTTTTGTATTTGTTTTATTAATTTTAAATACATTTTCTTTTTATACAGTGTCATTCTTTAGTAAGTAATTTATAAACAAATAATAACAAAGAGAAGTAATTGCTTTTTAATTTGTTTAGTACAAATCTATTAAAAAGAGGCTTATGAGTATCACTATTTGACTATTTAAAAAAGGGAAATAAGTCATGGAAGTTGTTTAAACGTTTGCTTATCTTTGAGAAGTTTGATTGTAGGAGAAAGAGGACTCGGCTTTCACAGTGGTTTAAAAACGAAGGAAAAATGAACGTGGGGTGGTGTATATAGAATAAAGATAATCCAACCGCAGCTACGGTAATCTTGTTTACAAAACAAACATTAAGTCAAAAATGCAAGAATTTTTTTTTAACTATAACAATTTTTTTTATGGTCAGCCGTGGGCCCCTAAATGGCGTGGGCCCCCCCCGCATTGCGGGGTCTGGCGGCACTGTAGTTCCGCCCCTGAGTAAGTAGTAGACTTGTTCATATTGAATGCAGTTCATTGTTTATGTTCACACTCAATGACCTGCTAAACCAGGCAAATATTCCATGTGTATCCACTCTACTTTATGGAGTCAGTTGCTCCATTTTTTAAAATTGTTTTAAACATATGAAGGATCACCCTCCTCTCATGTTTCACTACTTAAATATCACATGTGTATCCACTCTACTTAATGGAGTCAGTTGCTCCATTTTAAAAATTGTTTTAAACATATAAAGGATCACCCTCCTCCCATGTTTCACTACTTCATGTTTTTGTACCTCAGGGGGCATATGGCTGTAAACTTGACCATTTATTATACATTTGACTTTGAAAAATTCTGCTTTAACACTAGATTTTATCTGTCTGAACTTGTGCTAATAGTTCTGAGCAAAGTGTGACCTAACCTCTGTATGTGCCGAAAAAATAACACATCATGTGTCATATGTACTACACACCCTGTGTCACACACAAGCACAGCTACATGTGCCTAAAATAACACATCGTGTGTCATGTGTACTACACACCTTGTTTCACCCACAAGCACAGCCTGAGTACGACATTACACCATCAAATGGGAAAATATTTACTTAGCGCTCTTCTATTTTAGGAATTCGATACAGTTTAATACATATTTTCACGGGAACTGTCCACGGTTTATTTTGCGAATTACGGGGTGAATACTTGAAGTCTAGTTTAATATTTTGTTCTGCAAATGTCAGACTTTTTCAAGTAGCTCATCTGTGTGGGCAGTACTCAGAATCCGCGTGGGCCGCATTCAGGATTCCTGTGGGCCGCACTTAGTATCCGTGTGGGCCACGTTTAGATTCATCTAGAGCCGCGACCAGGGGCGTAGCGAGGGGGGGGGTGCGGACCGCACCGGGTGACACCATTTAGGGGGGTGACACCAATGCAAAAAATAGCAAAATATATAGAGAAAAATTTTCGGGGGGGGGGGGTGCAAATCGAAAGTTTGAGGGGGGGGGAACAAATCGAAAGTTTGAGGGGGGGGGGGGGTGCAAATCGAAAATTTGAAAGTTTGTCCCCGGCGGGAAGGGTCGCTACGCCTCTGGGGGGGGGGTGACACCATTAAGTGCCGCACCGGGTGACACCCGTCCTCGCTACGCCACTGGCCGCGACTACTTTTCAGGGCAGTTTCCCTGTGGACAGCATTTTGTTCGCTTGACAGCACTTTTTTTCTGGACAGCAATTTTCTGAATGTGTCTCGGTTCTAAACTTAGCAACCATTTTATTTTTTGTGTTTCTAGTGGACTCTGGCTGGTAAAACGTAAAACAAATGTGAGAAAAACCAGCAAGAAAAAAAGTTTCAGAAACTGTTTAATTAGCCTTTAGACGTTACATTGATACAACCAGTCAACATTCGTACTACAACGCGGCTCCTACACAGTGTGTAGCTTGTTGACTACTGCACCACTGAAAGCTGAAGAGTTCCTCAAACGTCTACAACGGTGCACCTCCAAAACGGCCCGGGACAAATCGGCCCCTTCAAAACGGCCCCGTTAATATGACCCCGTAAAATCGACCCCCGACAAAAAGATCCTGTCAAAATAGCCCCGTCAAAAGGGCCCCGACTTATATTAATGTTTAATTTACAACAGTAAAGATGTTGCTTAAAAGCTAGCACAGAAGTGTAAATGTATGATATTAATGATGTCTACAGGATAACGACATTTTGTTTTGATAACCTACAAGCATACTGCAGGTAGGGATGCATAGCGTGGACCCCTCTCCCCACACACTTGAGTTGGAACCGCCCTTCAATCAACTCATATATGGAAGTCATAGATAGATTGCCCTTAAATTAAAACATACTTTTTCTTATAATAGATAAACTATTATAAAAATAAGGCCTGCCGAACCAGAGATGCATACGTTGTATTACATAAGAGTGTTGGATATGCTAACTCTAAAGAATATTGATGAAGGGGTCCCAGTGGCAGGTGTCGTATTCAATGAGACTGTTTTGCCGGGAGACTTAGTCTCTACAGAAACCGTATTGTCAGTGGTCCTTTTGTTGGGAGTCAAATTGACAGGAGCCTATTTGTCGTGAGCCAAAATGACGGGAGCCTATTAGTCGTGAGTCGTAATAGCGGGGGCCGTTTTGTCGAAATGACGGGAGCCTATATGTCGGGAGCCTTATTGACTGGAGCTCTTTTATCGGGAGCCTATATGACGGGAGCCTATTTGTCGGCAGCCTATATGACGGGGTCCATATGTCGCTGGCCTATTGACGGGGTTGATTTGACGGGGCTCTTATGTCGGGGCCGATTTGTCGGGGTCGTATTGACGGAGCCGTTTTGTCATTGGCCGTTTTGACGCCGCACGGTTTACAACAGTGGAAATAATAATTAGACCACGTAGGTCTCTATAGTGGTACACATTTTCAATTCAAATCACAATTTTACATCTTAATGGTCTCACTGGAGCGTATCAAAGCATACTGTTAATATGTTAATAATTAACTGCATTCACTCATAATCTATGTCACTTCTAACATAATATATACACATACAAAGATATGAAATAAATGTACAAGGCATTTTAAAATGTTCAGCTTTAAAGTACAAAGTAAATAGCCCAACACTAGCAGGGTTGTATACGCTATCAGTGCTGGTTATATGTTTGTGATCGAACTGACAAAAATACTGTGTTACAAGCTACTGACAAAAATACTGTGTTACAAGCTATTGGCAAAAATACCGTGTTACAAACTATTGGCAAAAATACCGTGTTACAAACTATTGGCAAAAAATATTGTGTTACAAACTATTGACAAAAATATTGTGTTACACGCTATTGGCAAACATATTGTGTTACAAACTATTGACAAAAATATTGTGTTACAAACTATGGCAAAAATATAGTGGTACTAAGGTAACTAGGTTATATATTTTGATGATGTTATGATGAAAGTGCAATTTATTGGAACAAATATTTTAAATAGTCTTGTAAATATTTCTTAGCAGACACGGTAGTAGTAGTAGTATACAGATTCATTCTTTAATTGTATGTGTGTGTATGTGTGTGTGTGTGTGAGTGTGTGTGTGTGTGAGTGAGTGTGTGTGTGTGTGTGTGTGTGTGTGTGTGTGTAAAGGAGATGGGGGGATAGGGGCCGATGCCATGCACACCTGGTGAAGCCCATGGTATTTTATTTCAAGACACTTCTGTTTGTAGATCACGTGTAGCTACGACACTCTGAGTAGCACGTGAGCTCAATGTTAACTGTTGGCTAACTTGAGCTAGAGGAAAACTCCTCTATATATTACCGTTACATAGATATTGATGGGCAAGGTACTAAACTTCACTGTGCGCAAATATTTCGAAGGTTTATAAGGTTACTTGCTGGTTAGGCCTAGTGTTTGAATTCAAATGACACACAATGTACATCTTTGTCTACATAACAAGACACGCTGTCTACATATGCATCAGCACAGCATAACACACATTGCAAGATACGCCGTTTGGATCCCCAAAATAGTTTTGTTTTTAATCTAAATATTATTATGTATCTAGAGGAAATATATGTGTAGTTAGACTGAAGATGGAAGGGTTGTCTTGGGAGGCTGCAAAATTAACAGTCAGAGACAGGACAAAATGGAAGGTTATGGTTGAGGCCCTGTGGTCCCACAGGAGTAAAGAGGATAAAGTAAGTAAGTACATGTGTAGTATGTTTTGAACTAAAATCGTGAGGTGGGGAGAAATGAACCATTTGAAGCTAAGCCAACCAGTGAAGCCATGAGTGACTAGAAATAAAATATTACATATATACACCACATATTCTTATGGGGGCTGGCCACAGCTGACCAACTGAGTCTGGAGGTTATACCAGCGCCAGTAAAAATGTTCCAAAATTTTCAGCTCTCGAGAAATGTATTATTTTGTCTACAGCTCGCGAGAAATGTATGCTTTTGTCTACAGCTCCCAAGAAAAGTATGAATTTTTCAACATCTCACAAAATGTATGATTTTGTCTATAGCTCTCGGGAAAAGTATGATTTTGTCGACATCTCACGAAAGGTATGATTTTGTTGACAGCTCTCGAGAAAAGTATGATTTTGTCTACATCTCACGAAATGTATGATTGTGTCGACATCTCACGAAATGTATGATTTTGTCTACAGCCCAGGAAATATATGATTTTGTCGACATCTCTCAAAAGCCGTCCAATTGTCTACAGCTGTAAGAGCTGCCCATGACGAGGGCCGACGTTCACCGGTACCCTCCGATGTTGACTGTGTGCTCCATGGCCTTTCTCCTCAGCGCCGCGATGCTGGAGCCACGCCACGACTCCTCCACCTCCGACAGTCCACACTGCAGGCCTGATGACGTCAGGGTGGGGGACGGGGAGTTGCCGGACAGCCCGCCCCCGCCTCCCCCAGACCCGCAGGACGGGGGCACCATGGAGTAGCCCGTGCTGTAGGCAGACGGCGGACTCCCGTTGCCCATGCCCAGACTGTTGCCGAAGCTCATGGGGCTGGAATGGTTGCCGAGAGAGTTCATGGACATGCTCGTCTGGATGCTTTGTCTAGGCCCCAGGCTGGCAGCCGACAGGGCCAACGGGTTCATGTTGGTGTTCATCTGGGCCATGGACGGCCACCGGCCATCTGAAGATGGGAACCCACAAAACGCATCGCCCATGCTGCCGAAGGGGTTAAGGCCGGTGGAGGGGAGGAGGGCCCCGGGGCTACGGAACACGTTGGTGGCCTTCTTTCGCTTCTTCCATTTGGCCCGGCGGTTCTGGAACCAAACCTGAAATAGAAACAGACATTGTTTTGTTATTAGCTGCAAACACATAGAAACAGACATTGTTTTGTTATTAGCAGCAAACACATAGAAACAGACATTGTTTTGTTATTAGTTGCTAACACACTTTAAAAACTCAGGTTAAAAAACAACAAAAATAAATAGAAACAGACATTGTTTTGTTATTAATAATTGCAAACACAATTTTAAAACTCTGGTTAAAAAATAAAGAATAAATCGACAGACATTGTTTTGTAATTAGCTGCAAACACAATTAAAAAACTCAGCTTAAAAAAATAGACTCAACAAAGTCCTAGCATCAAAACATGCTGGGTGTATTCTAGGGCTATCAATGTTAGCTGCTTAGAAAAAAAAAACAAATCGAAACATTGTAAAAGTCGGAAAAAGTCTTTCCAAATGGAACTATGAATTCACTTTCGACGGTGTCTTTTCACCACTCTCCATCTTACTATTTATGTGACGTTTATTATCGTGTACTATCTTCCTGACTTTTCCTTGATTAATTAAATAACATAATGTATTCCATGCGTCATGCTATGTTGTTAGTCATCTGATCACGTGGGCGCTTGTCTATGATGTGGGTAGTCACGTGGCGATCACGTGGGTCACCTGATATCCTAATCTAAGAGCGTGACGGAAGTGACAGCCCATCCTCACGGTAAACAAGAGGAGTTATCCCCACTCTTGGTTTACTTTTTGAGCCCGTGTTGACCCGAGCAATCCTGCGGCTCGCATTACTAAACCATTAGTAGTAATTGACCCCTATCATTGACCCCTAGCTCTCCTCGCGGGATCCGAGGCATACATCATGATTTAATATCATCCTTGTTTCAACGACGTTTGATGGCGACACTTGAAGGCTGTTAACAAATCGTCAACAAATTGACCCTTGACAAAGGATTCGAACATGCCTCCTTCCCCACGTCACGTGCCGGGCGCGCGCTACCTATTCATCACTGCGTCACTATCACTCGAATTAGAGGCGATCGTCTGCATGCCTTCCCGAACCTTTTAACAGAGCGAGAAAACGTTTCCGGTTGTCCGCGGCTGTTGCGTGCGCACGACGTATACGTCATCGTGTAAACGAGACGCTGATAGGACGAACCCGCCCGCCAGACGTCGCTAGGGTAGAAATTAATAATTACTTTTCCGGGCCACGATGGAATCTTACCAGTCACATGACCGTAACTTGACCGTTATGGTCGTTAGGTAACGACTGTTTGTGGGGGAGGGGAAGGGAGGGAGCAACGTGTGTGTGTGAGGGGGGGGAGGTAGTCGATGACAGGTACGTGTGTACAAACGATTGACACTTTGGCTTCTATTGTCTGTCGTCTGCTGACACAACAATGGCTACTTTTCCATCAGTCGTACCGCCATTATAAAATCATTAATTCCACCGCTAACTACAGTTACCCGACCCAGCAGGGTACGCAGGGGGAGCGGATCTAAAGGGGCGCTTTTTCGAAACTTATTTCGCTAAAAATTTTAAACAGTCATATTTGTCAGTATTTTTTTTTTGGTCGGCACCTTACAAGAATTTTTTCATGCACCATGTAAGCATATACTACTAGACTAGAGCTAAACCATGACACCATTTACACTGCGCCTTCAAGTTTACAGCGGGAGTCGAACTTTTTCCCAACATTCGAGCGCTTGTCGCAAGTGTCCATTCGGAAAAACGACATGCGAGGAAACAGCATTCGGACAAGTGTCGTTCGAGACCCTTCTTCGACATGTATTCGCATTATAAAAATTAGCATTATAATGCATTTTGGTGATTAAAAAAACAACCCGACGGTTAGTAAGAGGGGTGTTAAGTTTAAGTCAACCGTATAGTCTCTTTGCTTACGTGTCTATTGAATAGGAAATATTATCAATATTGATACATATATCAATTTATTTATAAAGTTTGAATTGTGTTATTAAATTTTGCGAAGTACTCTACAGACACAACCACAAACAATATGGCACCTTTATTTCAACTTACTAATGGACGAACTGCATAGCGGCGGTCAACATGCGTTTGGCGATAGTAGCAACCATTAGTTGTAGTGCGGGTTGTCAGATAGTTAAACAGGTTGGCTAGTGCAGGTTGTCAGAAAGTTAAACAGGTTGGCTAGTGCAGGTTGTCAGAAAGTTAAACAGGTTGGGTAGTGTATGTTGTCAGAAAGTTAAACACACAGACATTAAAATAAAACAGACTCGTATAAAGTCTTGTGTTTGGTCCCCGGTTTATAGCACGTATCAAGTCCCCGTCAGCTCTGATGTTATGACTTTAGTTATGGTGAGTTATGGCATTGTACCGACACACTACCCTTTATTCCCCAAAATCACAAAAAAACTCTTCTTTCTCTGCTTTATTGGTCGTTAGAATACGCTGTGACAAAAAGGTTTAAAAACCACTGAAATTCTAGTAAACAAAATGAAAAGCCCCCGGTAGGCATAAAGGATAGATATGACACACTTTTGTGAATTGTACCTAACAGTTTGGACATTCCAATTAGTGTTTAAATATCTTCATACTTGTTTTTAATGTTATTAAAATTTATGTGATAAAAAACTTGATTATGTACTTTTTTAAAAAAAACAACACTTTTTCTACATTTTCTAGTATTTTGGATATTATAGTATTTTAAAATACTCAACAATATTTTAAAGAAAAGCCAAAACAATTGTCTTGCTTGTCGTCGCTACATCATTACGAAGATTTTAAAAATTGTGAATTACCAAAAATGCGCGCAAATGTGTCGATGTTAATGGGATTTTTAATTCTGGCACAGAAACGCATGAAACCGCTTTTAAAGATACGAATACAAAATTACCAAAAGATAATATTAAAAGATCTAGGTCTAGATCTGACACTACCAAATATTACCACCAAAGTCGGATAGTCAAAAGTAAACAGAAATATAATCTCGAAATAGACCTGTCATGTTAATATCTTCTGCATTTGCCCATTTTATCACATACATTCTTGAAATATTAAATTTCTAAATATATGTACGTTGTAATTTTAACACTTTTAATAAAGTTAATATAAATAACCTTCATAAACAGCTTTTAAAAGTATGGGAACTAAAAATAACAATCAAAGCAGCGAGGGACTTTACTACCTTCAACACCCACACCCCCCCCCCCCCCCCAAAAAAAAAAAAACAAGAAAAAAACAACAACAAAGAATTATATAAAGAAAAGAAAATTAATAAAACTGCCTGCCGACGCCCATCCTATAAGAAGGACGACGCCTACTACAACTTTTACAAGCTGACACGTCACAACCAACGAAAAATGTTCACACCTTTGAGCTGGCCACAATAGATGGGACACCACATGTTTCACTAGATAAAAGATGGTCACAGCGAGACATCCTCCTGCGGTACGACCCTGGTAAAAAACGAACATGTTCTACAAGACCGCTCTAGGTACCATCAGACACGGCCTAGACTAACCCCCCCCCCCCCACCCCACAAAGATAAAAATTTCACGGGGTGTTTTTGGGTGTAGACGTCTGCGACTTTGGTCTAGCTGTATGCACATCCAATGTACATCCAGCGCCCTCTACATAACACCTGGTTAGTTTAGTTTGGCTCATGCTACAGGTTAGCTTGTTACAAAATTCCGGGGGGTTGCGGACCGCACCGGGTGACACCATTTAGGGGGTGACACTAAGGCAAAAAAATTGCAAAATATATAGAGAAAAGTTTGAGGGTGGGGTGCAAATCGAAAATTTAAAAGTTTGTCCCTGTGAAGGGTCACTACGCCTCTGGGGGGGGTGACACCATTAAGTGCCGCACCGGGTGACACCCGACCTCGCTACGCCACTGATGAGTTGTAAAATTAAACTGACGTCAGGAAAAGATGTCTATTAAATAAACCATATATTTCTTAACGTACTATTGGCTATAGATTTATAGATTTACAAACAGAAGATTTTTTTATTTATAATCAACTTATTATAACACTTTAAAAGCATGAGACACCCGACATGTACCCCCACCGTATTCCATTCACCAACAAATCTGGCAGCTCCAAGTACAAACTTTGTTTGTTTAACTTGGACATATTGGCCAGATTTTTAAAAGTTTTTTTTTAAAAACTAGATCTATATCAATTAGATAAATGTTTCTGAAATCTTTTATTCAAAATATAAATATTAAGAATAAAAAAAAATACCAGTGCACCGATAAAATGATTAAAAATAGTTTGATACCCAAAGTCAGAAGCTGTCTCATATGTCTTAAACGTTGAATTGTCTCGAAAGTTTCAACTTTTGAAATGTCTCGGAAACCTCAACAATTGAAATATTTACCTAAAATTTATTGTCTGAACAATTTAAAATGATTTTTTAGTCACCACAAAGTTTTTGTAGCCAGGAAATTGTTGCATTGTGATGTCATTTCTTGAACCATTTTAAAATTTTGAACTTTGACCCAACTTTCACCCCAGGTGGAATAATGTCTAGATATTTCGACAAACTGAATAATTTCATGGATTTCTATTGGCAGATCAGCAGATCAATACCACACGCTAAGAGCTGATCATGAAACATATTGATCCAGCCAGCCCGACCAATCAGCTTCTCTCGCATTGACGTGGGGGCGTGGCTCTCGTTGATTGACATGCTAGATGAGGCTGATAAATAATATCCCAAGAATAAAAACTTTTCTATAGCGCTGCTTGCTAGACGGACCATTTTGTTGAGCTAATACAATAAGCTACAGAGCTAAACGGCGGTTATAATGAGAGCATGAATAACTACATTGTAAAGACAAGAATGGGTTCAATAGAGAGTTCACACGGAAAGAATTGGTTGTTTCAAGCTGTTGAATACAGCCCATTCTGTTTGTATAGTTTACCACTGTGATAAACCTAATGAGTAATACGCTGAATAGGCCGTGATTGGTAAAATAAACGGACAATAGATTTTGGTGGTCGTCCATAAAAGTCGCAACATTCTATAGAGGGGAGGGGTCGGATATTTGTGA